TGTAGCTCACAGTCATCTTCTGCTATGGGCCGCAGCGTGCCTGAGGTCACGCATATGGCGGCGAAACTCAAGGAGAACTGCTACAAGGTGCCCGGGCAAGAGGCGAGCGAGCCGGCGCCTGTTGAGCCGCCCAAGAAGGTACGTTTATGATCAGTGAATTTGCTTTAAAGTTTGATCTTTGTAGCTCACAGTCATCTTCTGATATGGGCCGCAGCGTGCCCGAGGTCACGCATATGGCGGCCAAACTCAAGGAAAACTGCTACAAGGTGCCCGGGCAAGAGGCGAGCGAGCCGGCGCCTGTTGAGCCGCCTAAAAAGGTATATTTAGTGAGTTTTATATTTATAGCTCATAGTCATATGCCGCCATAGGCCATAGCCTAAGGTCACGCACATGGCGGCCAAGCTAAAGAAGAACTGCGTGCCCGGGCAAGAGGTGAGTGAGCCGGCGCTCGTTGAGCCGCCTAAAAAGGTATGATAACTGAATTTGATTTAGTTTGATCTTTGCAAGCTCATTCACAGCAGATTCATGCTCTGTCTTTAATACAGAAGAACGATAAACACACTTGAACCACAAATTGACACGCTGAACTAAATGTCACTGTCACATAAAACCTAAGCTAATTAAAAATTACACAAATTTTTAAACTAAGGGCCGCATATTTATTGTACGCGCGTATGGAAACCCATAGTTTAAAAATTTCAGTAATTTTTAATAACGCAAAATGTCTATTTTTATATTTATTTATTTGTTATGTTATATCTTGTTGTTATGTAATTAAATCTCTTAATTAATAATTTCCAGGTGAAGACCCGCAAGACGGAGGAGGTGAGCGGCGGCAACTGGTCGCAGGCGCAGCAGGCGGCGCTGGAGACAGCCCTAGCGAAGCATCCCAAGGGCGGCGCCGGCGACCGCTGGCAGAAAATCGCCGCGGCCGTGCCCGGGAAGACCAAAGTACGAGCCGCTTTAGACTAAGACAGTGGTTCCCAAACTTATTTAATATTATTGGCAGGTAGTTGCTAATTGCTCATAAGATAGGCCCCCTTAATTTAATTTATTGTGCGTGGTGCATAATCTTTTCTTAAAGGTTTTAAGCCTTTGTTTGTCACCTGTCATCCGCTTTGCAATGGAGGGAAGTCGAACCTTAATTTCGAACTCCTCCTATGTTCTTCTGATTAATTTCGTTGCGGGTCCAATGACAGTTTAACTTTCCCCCGGGACAAACTTGACCTTCATTGGTTGGGTTTTTGTAGCGGTCAAGCTGTAGATCCTACTACACAGCTACACAGGAGTTGCAGTGGTGGGAACGAGAGGTGGGAATAGTCCCGTTTAAACTTATTTAGTCTACTGCCCACTTTGATAATAAATTATTTTTAGCGCCCCCCATTTTTGTGGTCGAGTCGAGCTCAGTCGGTGTCTAAGAGTCCTCCTAGTAGATGACGCCTCCCAAGCCTCTACACAACGTCCCGATTTTTTTTTCTGGGTCTCTTACCGCCCCCCTTTAAGCCTGCAGCGCCCACAAGGGGGCGTTATCGCCCACTTTGGGAAAAACTGGACTAAGAGCTGGTGAACGCCAGACCTACGTCATTTTATAAAAGTAACATTTCCAACTCCTTGCCAGACAGTTTTTTTAGGATAGCTGCCAAAGCCACGATGACCCAAACTTCATGATTCACCAGCATTATATCCTAAATTGGGATAACTTTGCTGACAAACTTTCAGCTTTTATAAAATGACGTAGGTCTGGCGTTCACTAGCTCTTAGTCTATTTATTATACAGGATGTTTACCATGAGTATACGCTAGGTATGGCTAGCGAATGCGTAAAAAAATTACAATAAATGACAGATTGTACAGCGCCCCTAGTGGCTACTTCTAAAAACTAAAACCATCATAGATTTTTTTGACGCACTCGCTAGCGAGCACACCTAACGTAAAATTATGGTAAGCACACTTTATCGTCTATTCTACTACTCAAATACAACTAGTAACTGTAGGAATACAGGATCAATATTCAATATCAAACGAAAAAGAATCACGTCCCCAAACTAAATGACTGATTGCTGATATTAATTTGCATGGAAAAGCTTTTTTTATTTGAACAAGGGACCTACTTGGGATAAATTGATGCGCTCGATCCTTTTTGAAAATAACTCCCTGTATTACTAGTTTTTGCCCGCGATTCTAAAAAAAAACAAATGTCATCAGATGCCTGCAAAATTGCTTTGCATGCCACGACTACATTTCTATTTCCAAATATATTGTGACTTTGAAACCGCCAATATAGTCTATTGAAATAATTATTGATCAATTGTATTGAATAGCGGCGCCAGATATTGGGTCAGAAACTTCACTGTTAGATTTTAGATAACGAAAGTGTTACAAATCACCGTTCCGCTACAATGATTCTTGTCAACACTGATTACACGCCATGATTGTTGTACAACATCGTTACATTACAAGATGTTTAAATTCGATTCGTTGCGGTCTACTGCATCTGGTGACTTGGTGACTGATTGAAATACTCAGAGTTTACGAAAATAATAGAGACAGCGATATATTTGTAATCTATTAAAAATCATTAGTAAATTACGTGACACGTTTAGGGAGGAAAGGGCATCTCACGTGGGGGAGAGGGTGGTCTCGGCAGATATCATTATATTTTTTTTGAGTAAAATCTTACGAAATGTCACCAAGGAGGGAGGGAGGGTTGAAAACGCCAAAATGCCAAATGGACACCCCCTTATTAAGTATATTGAAATCGTAACAGGCATATGACTAACTTCTGGGTGGAAAATATCTACAGAATGTAAAAGACTACTTCCTTTCTACTTTCAGGAGGAGTGTATGCAAAGGTGTAAATATTTGTCGGAGTTAGTTAGAAAACAAAAACAGAAGGCAGATGAAGAATTGCAAAAGGACACAGAAAACGAACCCATCGAGGGTGACCAGACCGATGCCAACTCTGAGTAAAGGCCCGCCCATTGAGTGTTGCCAGTGTTGTTATATTTTTAACGATGGTATTTACAGCCTGCCATATCGACTGAATAAGTCTACGAGTTTGTGGATACGGAAAAATAAATTAACTATCTTTATAATAATTTACAGGAATTCTGCTTTTTGATGTACATTTTCGTTGCTATAAAATATACTTTAGCTAATCTCTGATTGAGGGTCCTACGTCCACGACTCGATGTATAAACGGTACAGTGTAATATGTAAATTAAATGTAAGTCAATAAATAGGGTTGTTTATCTATATTATAGCATGGTACAATAAAACAAGGTTTAGGTGTTTTATGCCTAGAAGCACCGACCATTATGTCGATAAGGTCTTGCTATGATTGCTTCTTCTATGTGCTAGTAGTGCTAAAGTCTGGTACGCGCGAGCGATAAGGATGGGTAGCTAGGGGTCATTGGACAAAATTCTACGTGCTCGCAGACCAGACTATACCATTTTTATTCATTCACAACTATAACTCAAGCCTATATTCAAAATTCAAGCTGAATATCAATATTTGGACCAATTACTGACTTAAATTTTTTCTTGACTGTAGGTTAATAATGTTTTATTGTATCATGATATTATTGATGTTGATGCAGCATTTATGTGAAAGCGCTCCGACCAGGGCCGGATTAACCATATCGGGGCCCCTAGGCACAGCTCGTTTCGGGCCCCCCTTTTTCATACCACAACAACGCAATTTGGAAATTTTTACTGTCTACATTACGAAATAGAATGAAGGATTTTTTTTATGCATAACAAGGCAGTTATTTGACCACAATTGCACCTGATGTTAAGTGGGATGCAGTCTAGGATGGTACATATCTGCCCTGTAAGTGCCTATGCACTCTCGCCTTGAAAAGGCCCGGATTATAGTCTTCGGGAAAGACAGCAGCAGGCAGCGAATTTTATTCCAGTCCCTAGCGGTTCGCATTATAAGAGTCATCGAGACGCTTAGTGCGAGCTGGTGGAATGTCAACAATATAGGCGAACCTGCGTCTGGTTCCCCGATGATGGAAGGGGGCTGGTGGAATTAGTTTATGTAGGTAATTCTTTCTCACATTATCCGAAGTGTAGCCTGTAAAACGCTTCGACAAGGGTGGGGCTGTCAATAAGTCGAAGGTTTCCACCGAATCCAGAGCAGCCAAATGTTTCTTGGCAGAGCCATCCCAGAGGTGGCAGCAGTATTCGATGTACTCTCCAAAGTTCAACTTGCTGGATATTTCAAGGCCCAAAAGTTGCAGTCGCTCGGTGATTTTAACAGGCACACCTCGGAGCTGAAGTGGCAATGGGCAGGGCACATAGTGCGCAGAACTGACGGCCGATGGGGCAGCAAGGTTCTGGAATGGAGGCCGCGTACCGGAAGGCGCAGCGTGGGACGTCCACCTACAAGGTGGACCGACGACATCGTGAAGGTAGCAGGGAAGCGCTGGATGCAGGCCGCTACCAATCGATCAATGTGGAAAGCATTAGGGGAGGCCTATGTTCAGCAGTGGACGTCCTATGGCTGACATGATGATGATGATGATGACCTCGGAGTCATAAGGAATGGACTTCGTTTGGCGGAGAACAGACACGACTGTGTTTTTGACGCGTTAAATTGGACCAGATTGGCATCGCCCCAGGTACCATCATCATCAACAACGGACTTCAGTCATCACATTGCAAAGGTATACGCCTTCCTTCAAGTGAAAAGCCTTGCCACAATCTACAGGACGAAGTATCGGAGTATCGAAACAAAATGAAACACAGAATAGGAAATCTAGGAATCTTGCATAATTATTTTTATAAAACTGACATAAACATAAAAAAACCGACTCCAAAAAACCTGCACTAAAAAGTAGAAAATAATTACATTAATTAATTTATTAGGACAAATGTACCACATGATTGATATTCTCGGAGTCGGTGCCAGCCGTTTGTTGCTCTTTAAGACTATCCTAGGTTTTCGACTTCGACGGAGTTGTGCTTAAGTGGTGGGGCCCCCCGAAAGGGGCATTTTTGCGGTTTTACGGTTATGCGGTGTAAAGGACTTGCAGTATGAGCCGGCGCCTGTTGAGCCGCCTAAGAAGGTACGTTTATGATCAGTGAATTTACTTTAAAGTTTGGTCTATGTAGCTCACAGTCATCTTCTGCTATGTGCCGCAGCGTGCCCGAGGTCACGCATATGGCGGCTAAACTCAAGGAGAACTGCTACAAGGTGCCTGGACAAGAGGCGAGCGAGCCGGCGCCTGTTGAGCCGCCTAAGAAGGTATGATCAGTGGATTTGCTTTAGAGTTTGATCTTTATAGCTTAGCCATAGGTCACGCACATGCTTGCTGCCAAGCTTATAGCGAACTGCTATAAAGGTGCCCGGACAGGAGCCGGTTGAGACGACGCCTGTTGAACCGCCTTAGAAGGTTTGGATCATATAAATTAGTTAAAATATTGAACCTTTATAGCTCAGAGCTATTTTTAGAAATTAAGACCATAAAGATGAATAACACAGTCTTTCACAATAGCACGTTGTGGTTAATGATAGATGTACATACATAAGAGATTCTTATTGCTTTCATGTTTTCTGTCTGTTTTGATGTGAGAATATTCCTGAATGTGCCTGGAAACACAGGTTACCAAAGTAACAACTGTCATTAGATAGAGCTGTCAGTTTTTAAATCCTTTTAATGTAATAATTTGCAGGTGAAAACCCGCAAGACGGAGGAGGTGAGCGGCGGCAACTGGTCGCAGGCGCAGCAGGCGGCGCTGGAGACGGCCCTAGCGAAGCACCCCAAGGGCGGCGCCGGCGACCGCTGGCAGAAGATCGCCGCGGCCGTGCCCGGCAAGACCAAAGTACGACCCGCTTTAGACTAATGCCCGTTTTCACCATCAATCCCCAATTTTTAAGTGACCCCTATGGTAACACATGACAGGCATTTAGTTCCCATAAGGGTCACTTACAAATTAGGGATTGATGGTGAAAACAGGTATGAGACAGTCTTTCCCAAAGTGGGCGATAACGCCCCCTTGTGGGCGCTGCAGGCTTAAAGGGGGGCGGTAAGAGACCCAGAAAAAAAATCGGGACGTTGTGTAGAGGCTTGGGAAGCGTCATCTACTAGGAGGACTCTTAGACATCGACTGAGCTCGACTCTTGACTACAAAAATGGGGGGCGCTAAAAAATAATTTATTCTCAAAGCGGGCAGTAGACTAAATAAGTTTGGGAATCACTGGACTAAGAGCTGGTGAACGCCAGACCTACGTCATTTTATAAAAGTAACATTTCCAACTCCTTGCCAGACAGTTTTTTAGGATAGCTGCCAAAGCCACGATGACCCAAACTTCATGATTCATCAGCATTCTATCCTATATTGGGAGCATACGCTGATAAACTTTCAGCTTTTATAAAATGACGTAGGTCTGGCGTTCACTAGCTCTTAGTCTACTTATTATACAGGATGTTTACCATGAGTATACGCTAGGTATGATAGCTAGCGACTGCGTAAAAAAATTACAATAAATGTATGACAGATTATACAGCGCCCCTAGCGGCTACTTTCAAGAACTAAAATCCTCATTTTTTTGACACACTTAACGTAAACTCATGGTAAGCACAACTTTATTGTCTATTCTACTACTCAAATAGTCTATTATAATAATTATTGATCAATTGTATTGAATAGCGGCGCTAGATATTGGGTCGCAAACTCCACCGTTAGATTTCTTTATACAACGAAAGTGTTACAAATCACCGTTCCGCTACAGTGATTCTTGTCAACACTGATTGCACGCCATGATTGTTAATTTGTTATACAACATCTCGTTACATTACAAGATGTTTAAATTCGATTCGTTGCGGTCTACTGCATCTGGTGACTGATTGAAATACACAGAGTTCACGGAAATAACAGAAACAGCGATATATTTGTAACAGATTTGAGGTCAATTATTGTGAAAGAGTAACAAACATCCAGACATCAATACAAACTTTCGCATTTATAATATTACTAGAATATTGATATCGTAGCAGGCATATGACTAACTTCTAAGAGTAAGCGCACACCGTTGATTTTTCGTCGGCCGATAGTTTAGTCGGGCAGTTGATCAGTATGGGCATGTATGGGAATGCGCACACTACGCCGATTCGATTTGGCCGATTCTTCATAAAATTTAAAATCGGGCACAACTATCGGCCAACTAAAAATCAACGGTGTGCGCCTACTCGAGTGACAATGAGTGGAAAATTTCTACAAATTGTTAAAGACAATTTCCTTTCTATTTTCAGGAGGAGTGTATGCAAAGGTGTAAATATTTGTCGGAGCTAGTTAGAAAACAAAAGCAGAAGGCGGACGAAGAACAGCTAAAGGACACAGAAAACGAACCCATCGAGGGTGACCAGACCGATGCCAACTCTGAGTAAAGGCCCGCCCATTGAGTGTTGCCAGTGTTGTTATATTTTTAACGATGGTATTTACAGCCTGCCATATCGACTGAATAAGTCTACGAGTTTGTGGATACGGAAAAATAAATTAACTATCTTTATAATAATTTACAGGAATCGTGCTTTTTGATGTACATTTTCGTTGCTATAAAATATACTTTAGCTAATCTCTGATTGAGGGTCCTACGTCCACGACTCGATGTATAAACGGTACAGTGTAATATGTAAATTAAATGTAAGTCAATAAATAGGGTTGTTTATGTATATTATAGCATGGTACAATAAAACAAGGTTTAGGTGTTTTATGCCTAGAAGCACCGACCATTATGTCGATAAGGTCTTGCTATGCTTGCTTCTTCTATGTGCTAATAGCAGGCCTGTTCATCTCCGCGAGTTTGCATCGAAAACAAAACACGCGCGACTACCCCTCCTGAGATACCAAATCGACAGGACAATCACGAGCGAGTATTGACGCACGCGCGTATTCTTCACCCATTTGCATTCTAAAGACAATAAACCATAATGTAAAAACGGTGGTGCAATTAATACTCTGCAGTATTTTTTAACTGCCTGAATAATATTAGAAACACAAAATATAATTCATGCTTATTCATGTATTTCCTCCGCCATTTTTCGCAGTTTGGCACCTCACGTCACACATCATTTTACCGAAGTCAGCCCTATGTCTTCGGCGCAGTACCGATCACTGACGTTTGTCAACAAAATGGCGCTCGACTCTTGAGACAAGCTAAATTACACCATATTGTTACCGACATTGAGCATACATTTTTTTAAATACCTTCGCGAAGAAAATCTTCTGTACGAAGTACTTATTATTATTCTGTGCTAATAGTGCTACCATTTTTATTCATTCACAACTATAACTCAAGCCTATATTAAAAATTCAAGCTGAATATCAATATTTGGACCAATTACGATCTAATCTTTTCTTGACTGTAGGTTAATATTGTTTTATTGTATCATGACTTTATTGATGTTTATGCAGCATTTATGTGAAAGCGCTCTGACTGAAAATAATATTGTAACATGTGTAGTGTCTATTTATTGGACGACTCGCGAACTTCCCAGTGATGGACGTTCTCTTTTGTTAATGTTATTCGAGGGATCTCCAAGGAATGTTTTGTTGTTCTAATGCACAACTAGTTTGTTATTTAAGGCTAATGTTAATAAGGGTTTTCGCGATTGAAAAATCCGCCAGATGGCAATACGTAGACGCGAGGTCCAAATGCTGCATGATTGGTTATTTTTATGTCAAAATCCACCAATCACGCAGCATTTGGACCTCGCGTCTACGTATTGCCATCTGGCGGATTTTTCAATCGTGAAAACCCCTATTACATCACCTCGCATTTTTTGCAGAACTCAAAAAGACAACTAGATCTTATTTTTTGTAAATGTTCGTCTATTTTTTACCTTTCTAACGAATTCTTGTCGTATTGAAGCTATGAGATGTAATACTATACTTTGTGAATATAATATTTGTGTCTATTCTCTTATTGTTCGACAAATTCTGATAAAAAGACTTCCATAATATATCAGCAGTATTTATTGAATATTTACAAGAATACAATTGATGTGATCAATTTACATGTGTGTATTTTTTATGTCCTTATAATTAACTTTGGCACTGGTTGTTACGTAGAGATCGTAAAATAAAGAGTAGTTTTAGGTGCGTATTACAGAACAGAGATCAAAAAGCACAGATTGAGGCCTTTGATTGGTCGAATAGACATGTTGACACCACCAATTAATTGACGTACTTTTTAAAACTGTCAAAACGAAACTCTCCCATAGATTTTGTATGTCACTACGAGCAAGTGACGTCACTATTTTGTCAACTCCAACTACTTTTTTCAATTACAATGCGACCAAAAATCGTAATTTACAGGTAATTTAAAATTAATTAAGTTTTTAAGACCAGAATGAAGTGTCTTTTTAGAAAAGTTGTGATTTCGAATTATTGGAGAATGGTGTCAAATTGTCCATTACATCTAGGTATTAGACTAATCACAGGGCATTAATGTCTTGAGATTGAATCGAGTTTCGAGCGTAGTTTTGTAATACGGCCTTTATGTATAGTTGTTGCGATGTTTAGCGCGCGCCGGCGTCGGGGATGCGCATGCGCTGATAGATCTCTGGAATGTCGTAGTCTATGGTGTCGACGCCGCCCTTCGTTGGCTTCTTGCCTGTAGTGATAATACATTTTAGATTGTAGATACTGATAAATCATGAGAAACATGTATTGTTAGCTTAAAAGGATTTTTTTTTGTTAACTTATTAGTGAAAATAAGGCTAAAACCAAATTTTACTCTTGTTCAAATATTTGTGTCATAAAAATTAATTAGTTAACTGATCAATGTATACCTACTGACCTTCGTGACATGGTTCGAGTTTCAGAGTTTGCGTATACCCACTGAACGATGGGGACTCATTCATTGAACCGGAGCCGCAACTTATTGTCCTGAAGTTGGAAATTCGTCGTACGTCGAGACGAAGCCGGAGGGGGAATAGTGGATCCCCTCGGGTCGTCCGCTAACGGACACTAGTGCAGCGCTGCCACGGGCCTCGCACAGGGACGGGTTATACAGGGTGTTAGGTAAATGGATATATGAGCCGACACTAGCCCATGTTAAAATGGGCATATAAATAGTATGGTGAAGTCAGAAATTCGATATCATCATTTTAATTTTTTTTTATTTTCATACAAAATAAATTTTATAAAACCGATTTGTATGAAAATTAAAATAATTAAAATGAAGATATCAATTTTCTGACTTCACCATACCATTTATATGCCCATGTTAACATGGGCTAGTGTCGGCTCATATACCCATTTACCTAACACCCTGTATAATACTAACCTGGCCAGCCGGAGGCGTTGGCGCCGCACGCGAGGCACCTGCAGTTGTTGGGCGAGGCCACGCGGTGCTTCTGCCGCGAGCCGTCCGCGCACGCGAGCCAGATGTCCACGGAGCCGTAGCTCGTGGCCGTGCAACACTCGCACTTGGAGTCGTGGATATTAAGCTGTCTGCATTAATATGAATAAGGGTCTTGACTTACTTGACTTATGGTCCTATGTCCCCTAGATGGGGCAGAGGGCGTCCACAACAGTCCTCCATCTCGTTCGGCCTTGAGCTTCTCGCTTGATCTCGCTCCAGGTCTTGCCGATCTTCTTCGCCTCGTCCGCTACAGTGCGCCGCCAAGTTTGCCTGGGTCGACCACGTTTGCGTTTTCCTTGGGGATTCCAACCCAGAGCCTGCTTAGGGATGTGATCGGGGTCCCTTCGGAGAGTGTGGCCAATCCAGTTCCACTTGCGGCGCTTGATCTACCCTTATTCATGACAGTGAATAAGGGTATTAGTATTTACCTGGCCAGCCGGAGGCGTTGGCGCCGCACGCGAGGCACCTGCAGCTATTGGGTGAAGCCACGCGGTGCTTCTGCCGCGAGCCGTCCGCGCACGCCAGCCAGATGTCCACGGAGCCGTAGCTCGTGGCCGTGCAACACTCGCACTTGGAATCGTGGATGCCCGTCACTGGATGATAAATGCTTAATTTAAAACAATTTATTAATGATAATGATAAATGGTTATTTTGAAACAATTTGTAGAATTATTAACACGCGATGTCACGCCTGTTAAAAACTGTATTGAGATTGACAGGAATCGGTGAGTGAGTTTCTGCTGCCACTTCTTCTCGGCACTAGTCGATAATATCGTTCCGAAGTGGTGGTAGAACGAGCTATATTTAGGACGTGTATAGTGTCCTAAAAAAGGCTTACATACTCATAGAGAAAAAATTCGCGAATAAAGTAAAATTGAACTGAAGCTCAATGAGGGCTATCGTTTTAGCGCTCACCAGTTAGCACCACTGTAGAGTAAGGTCCTGTCACTTGCTAGTAGCGAAGACAGTGGCACCAACTGGTGAGCGCTAAAGTGGTAGGAGAACTATCGCATTTGCACTCATCAAGATGGCGCCACTGTAGAGTAAGGTCCTGTCAATCGCCAGGGGTGCCAACTGTTAAGTATAAAAACGATAGCCCTCATTGGAAAGTGCTATATCACCGAGCGGGCAACACTTGTATTAATGCCTGAAATAATGATTTCCACAAATACATCCTGGCACCTCCCGCGACCTTCACCAGATCGTCAGTCCACCTAGTGGGGGACCTGCCCACGCTAAGTCTTCCAGCCCGTGGTCGCCACTCGAAAACTTTTCTGCCTCAGCGGCCATCATCTCTACGAGTTCTGATTCGATCACGCAGGGAAACTCCGAGCATAGCACGCTCCATCGCCCTTTGGGTGACCTTGAGCCTTCTTTATATACCGTTGTTATCGGCATGTCGTATATCTCCACGTCTCCGTTACTCACCGTTATTATACAGCGTGCCGGAGTCGCATGACCCGCGGCACTCGTAGAAGCCGACGAGCGGGCGGTCGTTGAAGCAGGCGCCGTGCGGTTTGAGCACCGCGCGGATGGCACCCACTGAAGCCGGGCCCGCCAGAAGGGTTGGGGTACACGTGCCTATAAACATATGCTTGTCACTGTGTGTGCATACAAATGTACAAACGTTTTTGGAAAGTGAAACCTGGCGTGAAAAAAGAAATTGTAAAAGTTTTTGTAAAAATAGACTATTTAATGTGGAGTACCTAAATAAATATTAGCAAATAAAGTAGGAGTATTGAGTTCTCCTGACGTACGCCAAAAGGCCTAAGTATACGAATGGCAAATAGAAAACATTATATTTGTTAATATCCTGTCACACAGGTTTTGTGCATCTTCACAAACATTTTGACACGTTTGTGACCGACATCACTATAAAAATACAACATGCAAGGTGTAAAAGAGATTTTCGGTGATCAGTCCAACCAATCGGCCCAGTCATTCTTAAAATATACATGTTGTTACCAGCCCTTTATGTTTTTTGATGATTAATAGTTGCCTAATATAAATAACTCACTCAGCGTCATGGGCTTCTCCTTGCAGACCTGGCAGCAGGTGTCGTTGACCAGGTCCTCGGGACTACAGTACGACACGTCTCGCATGCTGACGTCACCAGCAGGTCGTCACCGAACTTCTCGCAAGTGTACTTTACGCAGAAGAGCTACTCCGAAACGCTACTTACGTAGTTTTGGGCTTATTTGGCTCCGTCACTCATGCTGGCATTTCGTTTTGCGTGAAAGGGATGTCAACAGTCGAAACTTGATAACGTTTTTCGGAGTAACCCCGCAGTTGTCGACAGTTCCATGCTGTAGTTGCTTAGTTATAAACAATAACTTACTCAGCGCCATGGGCTTCTCCTTGCAGACCTGGCAGCAGGTGTCGTTGACCAGGTCCTCGGGGTCGCAGTCCGACACGTTGGGACACGTCTCGCGTGCTGACGTCACCAGCAGATCATCGCCGAGCTTCTCGCAAGTGTATGTTGTGCAGTTGTCGGCAGAGTACCATGTTGTGCCTGAAGAAAGGTTTAAAAAAACTTTATTATTACGAAATGCTGGGAAGGTGTTCATTTTTTTTATAATTAAGTTTTTAAATAAAAAAGAAAGTTTAGGATATGCCTAAACGACCTGTAAATTCAGTAGGTTTTCAAATCAGTGCGGAAGTTTGATAACACAATAAGTAGGTATGCTCCCATTCTAATTTGGTACAACATGTTAGTGGCAATACGAGATTTCAAATAATCTTTAGTTACGGAAGATAAAATTAAAATATCAAGGCTGTGACGTCTCTCAAACCCTCCCATAAAGTATCCTAACCTGGCTCCACCAGCTAGTCGTCTATCAAGCACTTCTCCTGCACGCAGCGGCCGCAACAGACGCCAGATGCCGGTGCGTGGTAGCCCCAACCGCGCATGCATTCACGCGAGCAAGTTTCTACACTGGTTGCGTGTGTTAACCGCCCTGTGACGTCGCTTAATCCCTCCTATAAAGTATCCTAACCTGGCTCCACCAGCTCGTCGTCCAGCAAGCACTTCTCCTGCACGCAGCGGCCGCAGCAGACGCCAGGCGGCGGCGCGTGGTAGCCCCAGCCGCGCTTGCATTCACGCGAGCACGCTTCCACACTTGCTACGTGTGTTAACCGCCCTGTGACGTCACTTAATCCCTCCTATAAAGTATCCTAACCTGGCTCCACCAGCTCGTCGTCCAGCAAGCACTTCTCCTGCACGCAGCGGCCGCAGCAGACGCCAGATGCTGGTGCGTGGTAGCCCCAGCCGCGCTTGCATTCACGCGAGCACGCTTCCACACTTGCTACATGTGTTAACCGCTCTGTGACGTCGCTTAATCCCTTCTAAAGCCCGGTCCGTGAGCACGTAGAATTTTGTCCAATGACCCCTAGCTACCCATCCTTATCGCTCGCGCGTAATTATATTGCTGTCGCGACTGTGCGACGGGCACCCGCAGTGAGTGTGCGAGCGCGATAGCAACATAATTACGCGCGAGCGATAAGGATGGGTAGCTAGGGGTCATTGGACAAAATTCTACGTGCTCACGGACTATATAAAGTATCCTAACCTGGCTCCACCAGCTCGTCGTCCAGCAAGCACTTCTCCTGCACGCAGCGGCCGCAGCAGACGCCAGACGGCGGTGCGTGGTAGCCCCAACCGCGCTTGCATTCACGCGAGCACGCTTCTACGCTGGCCGCATGTGTTAACCGCCCTGTGACGTCGCGGGAACACGTCAAGTTCTTGCACGGGTCGTCTGATGGCCAGGTCTGGCCCTCCTGTAAAGATTTAATAATAAAAAGTGGTTACTAAGCACCGGACGACATAATTAATGCTGAGCGGCCGCCTTTTTGGCACAAAAATAATTATGCGTGTATAGTTTTGTCTTTTTTTTTTTTATTTTCTTTTTGTGTCAAATAAAGTTTTTCTTATCTTAATGTATTTTAGAGTCAAGGGGGAAGGGCAGCTGACCTCTACTGAAAATTGTAAATCCTACATAAATGAGTGTTTCATTCTTAGCGTTAAGAGAATGCTACCTAAAAATGTATTTTTTCCCCACCCCCCTTTAATCAGACTGACCCCTCCCTCTTCTCAACTAGAACCTGAGTACGCCTGCCTGTGGGGTGACGTAATATAGCAACGCAGTAGTTGTGAAAAGCCTTTATCCTTTTTGGTTAAAGGGAATATTTGCTCAGCGCCATCTAGTTGCAAACCAAGCAAAACATGTAATTGTGGCAACTAGATAAATTAATAATCTAGAGGATATTAATAACACATTTAAAATTACATAAAAGATAATACAAACAAATACCATTAATTTATTAAATGTAAAAGTCTTTATATGAGTCCTAAAACTCATAATAATGTAACCAACAAACGATGACGAAAAGATTAAAATACACACGAAATAAATAAATAATAATACATAATATGTCTGCATTAGTTCTCAACCTTAAGCTAAAATTAAACAATGAGAACATAATATTAAAATTAATAACAAAAATAACAAGTACCTATTATAGCAAGTACAACAAGTATTATGTACCAGTGGCGCCACCATACGTTAAAAAATGTTTCCTATAGCCTCGCTAGATGGCGTAGCGGTCGCGCTGCCCCGCGGTGTGTGAGTATTTTTTCCGTACCTTAAAGCCCCCGAGAGACTTAGTGTCGTCACTCTGCACAGTGTTTTATTTTGGCTTAGAAGCGGACATCCCTGTTTTATTAATTCAATCGTTAGATATTACTATTATGTATACAATTGATGAAGGAACTAGTAGTTGTATTTGTTTAGTTTCGAAGAAATATTCGATTTTGTGATTTTATAAAAAAAACTGTTTTAGAAGCATATTTTCTAAAAAAATTACATTAAGTCAGAATTTTGTAAATAAATTTACCTATCACTATAACGTCTACCTTTATGTAAAAATAAATGGTTATTGCTGCAGTAATTTAGGAATTATTTAATAATTTATGATTTTCAGAAAACATTTTTTTCTCTGTTGTCCTAGAAAAATGGCAGCTAGACTTACTTTATATTGATGCATGATATAATTATCTATAATACCTGAAAATATTACTTGCCTATCCCGTGGAAGTTCGAAGATATTTTAATTTCTATGAGTTTAGAAGATTTATATGTAAATAGGGTTGTCATCTAAATATTTTTTAGTTTTTTAAATGCCGTCCGTAACAATACGGTTTTAATGCCTTTGTTAGATAACTATTGAAATTCATTGCTTTTACCATTATTAATTTGTCTGGTCGAGTTTGATAATTATAGAGTTGGCCCTGTGGCGGCTTATTGGAAATCCTATCGTTTTCGAAACATCGATATATATGTTGCAGTCAAAACTCATAATCGATCAAAACCACTTTTGACTGCAAATTTCAGTTAATAGTGGTTTTGACCGATGGCCTTAGTCAATATTACTTTTGACAAATTTTTCTAGTCGTATCATCGAACTTCCACGGGATAGGCAAGTAATATTTTCAGGTATTATAGATAATTATATCATGCATCAATATAAAGTAAGTCTAGCTGCCATTTTTCTAGGACAACAGAGAAAAAAATGTTTTCTGAAAATCATAAATTATTAAATAATTCCTAAATTACTGCAGCAATAACCATTGATTTTTACATAAAGGTAGACGTTATAGTGATAGGTAAATTTATTTACAAAATTCTGACTTAATGTAATTTTTTTAGAAAATATGCTTCTAAAACAGTTTTTTTTATAAAATCACAAAATCGAATATTTCTTCGAAACTAAACAAATACAACTACTAGTTCCTTCATCAATTGTATACATAATAGTAATATCTAACGATTGAATTAATAAAACAGGGATGTCCGCTTCTAAGGCAAAATAAAAGACTGTGCTCTGGTTTCCCTTCAATACGAATAAATCTTTCGCCTTTTACTAAAGATTTCCGTGGAGGGGAACACTCAAATGAGTCTAACTCTATTTTTGACACCTTGCCTCGTGCAAGGTATAGAATTTACAAACAGATTAGGTTCTCCCAAGCGTTCATACGGGGAGAGCTTATTATCCACGAACTTTTATTACCTCTTGCTAGTACGAAATCATTTACCGAGTTATCTTTGGCCAGCAGTTTACAATAAAAGTAATTAGGATAAAGGCGGACCTCCTGTATTTTTTCAAAACATAAAATGTGGGCGTGGCCTGTTTTGTGTATAAAAAAAAACATGTTTACAGCGACAATTTGCTTGTAATAGCGCAGTTACACTATGCGGGAAATTGATCGAGACAGAGAGAGTAAACACGCATTTCAGCTAATTTCGCCGTGGGTCACCCATATTGTGTGATTGTGTGCCTAAGTATTTGCTATTCTGTTCGATCAATTTCCCGCAGTGTACCTGCGCCATAACATTTTGTCTGGCCCAATAAATCAATTCCTCATACTTGATGCACATGACAATCTGTTCCATCTTGGGTAATACTAAAAAAAGCGTAAAAAATATTTTTTACATATGACAAAAATACACAGGGGATATCCATTAAAAAAAGGTAAATTAGTCGTAAAATAAGTTCCGTACCTGGTAGATCTTGTTCCCAACTCGGCAGGCCACTGGTTCCTGTTTCTTGCAGCACTGTCCGGGCGGGATGTCTTCATTCAGTACGAACTGCTTGCGGACGGCTTCCGGGACATCGGGGCAAGACTCGTTGGAGCTTTGCACTTGGAGCTGCGAATAGAAGGAAATATTGAAGAAAACGTTACCAAAATAATAGGGTTTTTGTACTCGAACAGTCATTTGTGAATTTATAGAAAGGTTTTTGGTAAAAAATGTAAGGTAATGTTGACAAATATATTATTGGACCATAATCAAAGGTGGGGGGAGTGAGTAAGAGCTAAAATGTGGGTACAAAAGGTATTGAAGTTAAAATTTGGCACACTTTGATTAAAGCACATTGAAGAACATTTCTAACCAAGTTGGAATAAAATTACGCGCTTTCCGTGTGCGCCGCACAGCCGTAGCGTCAAACTTTAACACGTATTGTGTATTGTGCAGCACAGAAGATGGATCTCGATATCGCTTAGAAAGCTGGTGCGGGCACTCGTAGCCAATGTGTTAATGCTTTTAATGGGTATAGCTAGAACTATTATTTATTGACGATTGTCATCTTTGACGTTCTTGTGCCAAAATACATGTCAAAAATTAATAAATATTTTTGATTTGATTTGAAACAGAAAATCTTTATATGACACGAAAATACAAATGATAAAAAAAATCTTTGTTTGAATTTCAGGATAACGAAATAAATTCAAAAAGTATAATGTAATAGTAAGCAAATAAATTGCTACTATATTCTTAAGGTTACTCACAGTCCCGTTAAGGTCGACGCAGGTATAGTTGGCGCAGAAGTCCTTCGAGGTCCAGCGTTCGCCGATGACGTGTTCTTTTCCATCCACAACACAGGCCACGGGCTTGCACTTGCCGCAGCACTGCTTTGATGAAGCTTCCGCTGGGAAGTACTTCCAGCCCTAGAAGACAGACGCATCTTATGGATTGTAATAGGTAGTATTTTTTCTAAATAAATGGTATTCTATGTACGTAACTCTATTAAATAAATAAATTGTGCAACAAAAATGTACAGTCAGACAATTTTAACTTCGAACTCCTCCTATGTTCTTCTGATTAATTTCGTTGCGGATCCAATGACAGTTTAACTTTCCACCGGGACAAACTTGACCTTCACTGGTTGGGTTATTGGCGGTCAAGCTGTAGATCCTGGCTACACAGGAGTTGCAGCGGTGGGAAAGAGAGGTGGGAATAGTCCCGTAGTCAGACAATTTTATAAAATAACAAACAATGAAACGTCCCAAACTGCTTAATTAAATAGTTTGGGACGTTTGATTGTTTGTTATTTCACTAATAAGAAATAACAATATAAATAAATATCCTTAGACATTTTATACTGCGCTTCTAGTCCCAAACTAAGCAAAGCTTGTACTATGGGTACTAGACAACAGATATAAACATACTTAAATACTTTTTTTTTTGTAAATACATACTTATTATACATAGAAAACACCCAGTCCAATACAAATAAATATGTTCATGCACACAAATGTTTGTACTGTGCGGGAATCGAACCCGCTACCTCCGGAATAGTAGTCCGTTTCGAACCACTACACCAAACGGCCGACTAATAAATGTTATGTCATCTTATTATTTCGTCATGTGGATTGTAACAAGTGCGTCAAAACTATAGTTCCAAAATACTGAACTGTCCTATGCATGACATTGACAGTGGGGCGCCACCGTCTATACCGGATCGCTGGTTCCGATTTTTGCCATGTTGGAAACCATATAGTTGAACGATGGTAGCGCCCCCCTGTCATCGAGTTTGGTGGGACAGTTCAGCGTGGGTCATCTATAATGAGTTATGACGGGCATTATTTTTTTCAGAAACACATTGGTCCAAAATTATCATTCATCATTAAAACTGTACAGAGTCAGACCGGCTCAATGCATTTACATGTAGCTACTAAGCAGTGTTTTCATTTTTTAATTTTATTTGTATCCGAGGAAAGAAAAAAAAATCAATTAAAAACACACTAAGGGCCGATTTTTCAATCGTCCGATAACTTTTAACTGAAGAATAACCTTGTCATTTTGACATATTTCCCATACAAATACTGTCAATGTGCCAAACTTATTCTTCAGATAAAAGTTATCCGACGATTGAAAAATCAGCCCTAAAAATAATAAATAAATCTGCCAAATTTCCAAGTGCTACTACTGACCGGCTGGCAGTTGGTCTCGCAGGTCTTGACGGTGGTGAGCTTCTCCAGCTTGCCGTCGCCCGCCTCGCTGCACGAGTACGATTCGCACACGTCGTAAGGGGAGGTCCAGTTCTCGCCCACCTGTTGCAAAATGAACGTTAATGATTTAGTCATTAAGTCTAAAATGCAGAAGCATGACTCGCACACGTCGTATAGGGACGTCTATTTCTCGCCCACCTGTTGCAGAATGAACTTTAATGATAATTAAGTTTGCAATGCAGAAGCATGACTGTGTGATTGAAAATAAAATAAAAAATGCATTTTTTTCAGACATGACAGTCAATAAAATCTAACTTAACATTACATCCAAAGAATTAGCCAGACGGGTTGGGGAGGCCAGACGTTCGCATATTTGTTTCTTTTTACGATATCCACAGAAATAGTGCGAATGTTACTATTTTGATACTGCAATATATTCACTATTTTAGTTGATAAATGATAACTTTATATTATTCGGCATGTGACGATGCACAGCATCTGGTGAGAGATGCGTCTACTTCCGGTGTAGTTTTTAACCATTTTATACCTTAAATGACGTCATTTCCGCAATTATTTAATAGGAATTGATTTGACTTACTTCCGTTTGCCGCCATTTTAGTCACCTGGGGGCGAGCTTGCTCGGAGTTCTTCATAGCGTCTTTAACTTCCAAACTAGCAACATCGTAAGCAGAAACTCTGCTCAGTTTTTTACTGAAATAATTTATTTCTCAACGTTCTTATACTAAGTTTAAAATTAAAAAGTACGATTGACCNTTTTACAGTAACATATACACAGAATTGACAATTTCGAAAAAAAATCTAGCCCTTTGCCTACAAATGGACACGATATCGATTTATTATTGAATTATTACGACACCGCACGCAATGAGAAACATTCGAATACCGTTTTTATCGTCCCTGTCTATCTATTATTATTTATCCGTAACATTTTTGTGGGGCATAGAAAATAAACTGTATGAGACGGGTTGACTGGCCGAATGAGTATGTTTTTGTGACTTTAATATTTAGGGAATTTAAGGATATGCCAAATGACATGTTATTAGATATTAAATAGCTGTTTATTGTGCTAAGATCTACGTTTTATGGAAGAGCAGTCGCCCGGCAAGCGGAAGGTCGTGGGTTCAATTCCCGCCTTAGGCAGTTCGATTTTTTCAAGTTATTTATAATTTTCAAATTAGTTTGAGATGCGACTCTTAACGCTAAAAAAAAATTGATAACTATGTAAAAGAGCTGTTTAATCTTAACTGACAGTTAAATATTTGCAACAATATTTCTGTTAGATGTAGGGTAGGTATACTTAACATTGATGAAACAAACGCTGGCTGTAACAGCGTATTACACTTGAAAATTTCGACGGGTTCATCCTGTGTCTAAGTAGCTCAGTTGGAAGAGCAGTCGCCCGGCAAGCGGAAGGTCGTGGGTTCAATTCCCGCCTTAGGCAGTTCGATTTTTTCAAGTTATTTATAATTTTCAAATACGTTTTATAGGTCTTGCGCTGAACTCCGCCAGTGCTTGAGTTATGGGAGCGGCACGGGAGGGGTGACATTTGCATATTGTTAAAAAATAAATAATAATAAATATCGTTGAACATTTTACACTGCGCCGCCCCCACACTAAGCAAAGCTTGTACTATGAGTACTATACAACGGATATAAACATACTTAAATACTTTTTTTTTTAAAATAAATACATATTATACATAGAAAACACCTAGACCCGTCACAGAAATTAAAATTCACCATTTCAATTTCTGCCCGGCAGGGAATCGAACCCGGGACCTCTCGGCACAGTAGTCCGTTCTGAACCACTACACCAAACGGCCGACAAATTGTAATGTGACAGAGAATATCAATCTGTAGGAATTCTGAAGTCTCGCTGACGTTTGACGTTACAAAAACGTGGCTTAAACCTTAATTTCAGCACGTAATGCGTATCATCTTTAGGAATTTAATCAAAAGTTTGACCTGTCTTTAGTTCGAGATTACTTAGAGCCAGACATTAATCTGGTTATAACAGCCAAGTTTGGCAAAGTAACAAGTCTAAAGCTATAAAAAACTAACAACATCAAATAGCTAGAATTCAGAACAAAGTCCATACCCCTAATTTTGCTCCTGAAACTTTGGCGCAAGAGTTTTAAAAATAAGCCATTTCCTTCATACATGATTTTACTTTTTGGCAGCAGGCTTGCAATATAACCAGTGGCTGCATCGGACTCAAATAAACTAAAGAAGTAATCCCGATTCACAAACCACTGCGGATTCCATAATATTATTGCTAGAATTTCAATAATATACCACTGAAATATCTGGCTCGCTTGCAAGTCTGTTTAATGCGGTAGTTGAATTATACTAATGTTCGTACAACAGAAAATGCTGGACCGATCTAGACTCTGTTAATGTTTGCAAAGTTAGGTGATATTATACATTGTTATCTTTGAAGTTTAGTATACTTATTAACAAAAGATTCAACTTACTTTGTACTGTGAAGCTTTTGCCCACGGCTTCGCCCCCGTGAAGTTAAATATGTCATAGATCATTACAGATTATAGCTTATGTTATTCTGATGTATAAAAAAATATATTGTAAAGTTTCATCAAAATCCGTTCAGTAGTTTTTGTGTGAAAGAGTTGTCACTCTTTCACACACATCATGGAAACTTTCGCATTTATAATATTAGTACGAAGTAGGATATTTCAATCTAGTTTTATGCGTATATTTTATAACCACAAGTCGTGGAAAGTTACATAAATAATGTATTCAACACCTTAACCATTCAGAAGCCAGCGGAAACCTTCAAAACGGCATTCCTAATGGACGAGATGAGGTTAAATAAAAATAGTAGGGAAAAACTTGATAAAGGTTCCAAGGGTTGGCCCTTATAAACGCGAGATCAAAAGAAAAACTGTCCATCCGAACAAACTTGCAGGAAAGGTCTAAACTTATAAAGAATTCGACGTCCGGACAAATTGTATTAAGTTTCGTGAGCGAGTAAAAATATATTATGTTAGCTCCATGTGTAACGTCAGCTTTGAATGTGTTAAATGTAATTTTGAATAGGATAAGTAGCAATAATATTAAGTTTGTTTATTTTTATCTGACGCTAAAAGAAGACTCGGATAGCGGGAGATTTTTACGATTTTAAGCAGTCGCCCTTGGACTGACGTAAGGGAGACTGGGTACGATTGTAACAGGGTACGGATGTAACGACTCGACTGTAGCTCGGTAGTTGAGCGGTACAAAGGGAAGGGTGACAAGACAAGTAAAACTGTATGGACTTGTCGCCCGCATGTCTTCCCCTTGTACCCCTTACCTACTAAGTATTGTTCGGTAACATTCCAGTTGTTCCAACTGTACCCTGCTACAACCGTACCCCGTCTACCCTACGCCAGGCCTGGCTCACTCCGCGCGGTACATCCGATAATTACCTACAGCGAAGCGCCCCGCCGGTGGGTATTCTATCAGTCGAGTGTCACGCGCGCGCCCGTCAGGGCGCTGGCGTGCGTTGTAGTATGATTATAATTCTATGATCGAAGTATTATTTAAAAATGGACATAAAGAGAAAGAAATATTGTGCGGCGTTCGGGTGCTTAAATTCGAAAAGAAATCTACCGGATTTATATTTTTTTTCGCTTCCCAAAGATGCTGAAAGGTATGTTGGCCATGTAGGTAATCAATAATTCTTAGGATAGTATAGGAACCTAACCTACTATGACTACTGCTCAGAATGAGTTCGTTCGTTTCAGCCAAATGACGTCCACTGCTGGACAAAGGCCTCTCCCAAGGTTTTCCATAATGAATGCCTACCTTTATACGTAGTTACGTTCGTTCGTTCGTTTTAGCCGAAAGACGTCCACTGCTGGACAAAGGCGTAGTTACGAACCTCATTACAAATAAGTAGATTAATTATTTTTTCACTAGACAGCAACCCTAACAGTGTAAGAAGAGTTCAGAGGCACGCGATAGAAAGAGACAAAACTTGTAGGTGAATAAAATTGTAGGTACGTAGTGCTGTGCGAGCTGAATTCCACTGTATCGCGTCGTAGCAAGACTCGCATTTATTTAAATCGTCTTGCGGAGTAATCCTTCTGTACCTGTACTATTACTTATTCTGTGTCTACGCCTTCGACGTAGATGTCGCTTTTATTTCAGGACAAAAGAAGTCATTGATGCTTGTATAGTAGTTTCCAAAATTCAGCGAAGAAAATAGTATGTTTAAACTCTCTGAACCTTGTCATAATGGCGGTGAGTCGTCTGTTATTATTGAGGTTATTCTGCCTACATTAGGACAACAGACAGGTTCGCAGACCAGCAAAATGTTTACATCTTAATGAAGTTTCAAAGGCATTCGAGAGCAATTTGCGATGTAATTCGCAGGTCATTGTACTTATTGACTTTGAGTCAGATGTTATAACTTGAATTAATTTTTAATTAGTGACTTCAGACACATTTTGTAGTTCAGATAATGACCGATGGATTGTAGCGCTGTTATTGTAGCAGAATACAAATAAAGACAATTTATACGTCTTTCACATGATATTTGGTTGGACAGAGGAAGCGAGAGAGAGAAATAGAGAGACAAAGATAAATCAAGTCTTAAAATACCTACTTATTTCATAGTAACAGTATCGTAAATTTTGGGGTGACACTGTGTAGGTTTGTTGTCGACACGAAAAGAAGTATCATAAATGAGTTTGACCTGTAGGTACTTAAAATTAAAGGATCGAATTATACCCATTATAACATTGTAACCTACTTACTTCTTTTTAGAACCTGATATAAAATATTACTAACTACCAAACTTCTATAACTAGCCCAGCTCTAAAATGAAATGGAATCGATAACCACAAAGTGGCGATTATTCTCGTTTCCTTTAATATTTTATCTGCACCCACTTACTGGGAACTGTGAGGCCTCATTTGCGTATCTTCCGAGGATTTTTTTAGATCTCTTTAAATTTATTGGATTTCAACGGCTCCATTTCAAGGGAGATTAAGGGGATCGAGTACGCGTACGTTTTTGTACGAGTAGAGTTTTAACGAGATCCTCTTGTCAGAGATCTTTGCTTGCTTAATTACTTTTTAATAATTAAGCCACGTTTTCACTAGGGGACATGTCGCGGAGATAAGTCGTCCGACATTTACGTAGCTTGTGTCTGCAACTTTGTCCTTCGATATATGACTTGTTCACACTAGCCAGTAGGTAGCAGAGCAAATACAAATGAGTAGGTCATCTTCATAGAAACGCAAGGGCACGGTTTGTATGCACGCACACACTGACAAAATTCGGCGCAACCACGACTGGCTCCCCGCTAAATTTTGTCAGTGTGTGCGTGCGCGCCGCATACGTGTTGGCGCGCTCACGTACAAACCGCGCCCTTGCGTTTCTATGAAGATGACCTACTCATTTGTATTTACTCTGCCAATAGTGAACAGTATGTCGCCCGAGGACCGACACAAAGCGACACGCGTCCTCACTACTCAAAGGCTGTCGGGCGACAAGTCTCGCGACCCGTAGATGTCGCAAGCGACGTCGGGCGACATCGCGCGGGACACGTGAATTTCGTGTCGGGCGACAGGGTCGCGGGACAAATGTCTCCTAGTGAAAACGCGGCTTCACTCTTAATGTGCCCTGCACTTGCCACTTCAGCTTGCTAATCCGTCGGGCTATGTCGGCGACTTTATTTCGTTTACGGATCTCCTCGTTTCTGATTCGATCTTGTAAAGAAATACCGAGTATAGCTTTCTCCATTGCACACTTTTCAACATTGAGCTTTTTTTAAAAAGACTATAAATATGAGGCATATGAGGGGCCACGGCCACGGCCACAAGGCCGATGGTAGTACGTACGTTATAGTAGGTCACGTATCGGAAAGCCCAACATGGTGGACAGACGACCTCTAAAGGTAGCCGAAAAGTGCTGGATGCAGGCTGCTATCAACCGGTCAATATGAAAATCATTGAGGGAAGCATCAGAATTCGGGTATTTATTTTGTTTTCATTGCTAAGTACTTTTTTAGTAAACATAAACACGTTTTCCAGAGTTAAAAGTATTACGAAAGGCATAAGTATATAAAAATAGGTTTTTCAAACGAAATACTCGTCTCTGAATTTCTGACGAATGTTTCTACGAAACATTAAATATGAGCAACAAATAAAACTCGATCCAACAATGTAAATAGCTTATTATTTTTTTTCTTTTTAGCGAGAAAATGTCAAAATGACGGCTGATTTTGTCAAAAAATATTTGTTTTATTTTTAAACTTTACTCCATTTGAAAAACAATCTCTACTTTTCACGGACTTCTCAGTGGAAAATTGAAACGTTATGTTAAGCAGGTTTGTTTTTATTAATTCTATTGATTTGTGTTTTGTGAATAAAAATGCGATAGTCCTACCGCTTTAGCGCTCACCAGCGGGCGCTACTGTCTTTTGTCCATGCGACAACGTGAATGACAGTTCACGCGACCTGTCATTTCCCTATGATCGCGCCGGCAATGGCGATCTGCACGCGTTGGTGTGGTTGAAACTTTAGCCATAAGCAAGTGACAGGACTTTACTTACCAGAGTGGCGGTAATTGGCGACAGCAATTAATAAGGACAACCTCGTCTAATAATAAATAAATAATAATAATACTTAAATAAATCTTTGGACAATTTTACACAGCGCCAGCTAGCCCCAAAGTAAGCAACTTAATGCTTGTGTTATGGGTGCTAGCTTGACGTATACACTACTTATATACTTTTTTTTTTAATACCTACATATTATACATAGTAACACCCAGACCCGTCAGAAATTAAAATTCATCATTTCAATTTCTGCCCGGCCGGGAATCGAACCCGGGACCTCTCGGCATAGTAGTCCGTTCTGAACCACTACACCAAACGGCCGACATATATAATATACTCAAGAATGATTATCTACAAGCCCCACGAAGCTGTGGCGACATCTGTCAACAGATGGCGGTGACACCTACCTTATCAAGTCACACGCTACCGCGCCTATAAACCTACTTCGCGATGACAGAGTTCTCTGCCTAAGTAGGTATTATATAGAAAACCGAGATGGTTTACAACTGGACCTTGGTCCCCGAGCACAGCATAATATGATCCTCACTTTCCACAAAGCTATACAGAAAAAAATTTGCCAAGTGCGTGTCTTGTCACGCGCAGTGTAGGGTTTCGTAGTTGTCCGTCGTTAACACAATATGCAGGTGACCCGGTTTTGGCCATTTTAAGAATTTTTTAGACTTTGAGGCTATATCATTTTACAGTTTTTGTTATCACGGACTTATTTCTTGTAAAAAGTGATTAAATATATTTAGATCTAGCCTAAGGATACATTTTTTTTCATAATAATTCCATGGAAAAATAATCCTGTAGAAAAGAAAATGAAATGGGAATTTGTGCCATTTTTGGCCAGCTTTACCCCATTTCTGGCCACAGTCATGTGCCAGTTCTGGCCATCAAAATTCATCAAAAAAAAACAGAAACTACCCGACGGATTTTAACGAAACTTGGTACAATTATTTTTCATACTCCTGGGCAGGTTATAGTATACTTAGGAATTCCCACGGGAACGGGAATTCGCGGGAAAATCCTTTTGTATGAAAAATCTAAACCGCTTAAGTTAGACGCTTGAAATTTTGCATGTAGGTACCTTAGTAAAGCTTAGTTACAACAGGATATTGCAAAACTCCCACGGGAACGGGAGTTAGCGGGAAAAAACATTTGTACGAGAAAATCTAAACCGCTTAAGATAGGTGAAGGGGGTAAAACGGGATCCACGCGTACGAAGTCGTGAGCGGCCGCTAGTATGAAATATAATATCTCAGAATCGAATTGAAATTACAATTAAGGAGATCAACATTAACCTATAGTATAAGTTTATTCGGTTAGTACTGGAACAATTTTCTTTTCACAACACCGATTTTTTTAGTATTTGGTTTCGATGGAGGCATTATAATCGTAACTCTGAAAATGAATCGATTACTTATATCAAAATAGCTAAGTAATTAAATTGAAAAATCACGATAAAAACTAAATGGCCAAAAGTGGGTTTCTTCGTGCACCACTTTTGGCCAGTCATGTGGCCAAAGATGGAAAAATTCATTCATTCTGGCTCCATTAGTGGCCACCTCTCATAAACCCACTTAATAAACAAATAGCGATAAAATATCATTAGTACCACTTAGACAGTGTATTCTTTATTAAGGATTAACATAAACATTTAAATAAAAAAGAAGGATTTAGAAAATAATGATTGTTTACTCACCCACTCGCCTTAGCCTTTTTGCTAAGACTTAAAACAATTAACGCTTCTCAAAAAGTAATGACTTGTTGGATTGAAGTGAAGCTTGACACTTCAAAGCTGTTAACGCTATCAGTGTTGCTAATATTAGATATTTTTATTCCCGTAAACCATAGAGTAATATATTAGTCTTTGCCTTAGTTATAACGATTTGAAGTTCTAAATGGCCACAAAGGGGTCGGTGGCCACAACCGGGTCACTTGCCCTATTTCAGAAGCAAGCAATTACTTCATCTAAAGTAACTTTTAATATTTTATTCTAAGGATTTTTTATTAGTTAAGAAATTTTATAAAACCTGAGTTAAATTACTATTACTCTTAAACTAACTGATCTATTTTAACCGCTATAGTTTTCCTTGAAAGTTCATGAAAAGCAGTACTTATTATGATTTTTTCCAGATTTTTCAAGTCAACAGTTTAGTTTTTTTTTTCAAAATATTATTTTACCGTTTTGTCGGCGTGATTAATATAGGTACATAAGTACCTCCACAAAATTACAGCTCTCTAGCTGAGTGCCAATAGTTTCCAAGCAAAACCTCGGACAGACAGACATATATATCGAAACTATAAGGGTTCCTATAAGGACTACGGAACCCTAAAAAAATAGTTAACTCGTATTAAATACTACATTATTGATCAGAACTAAATCCAAAGACATTCTTCTATTTTGATACGGATTTTTTAAGCTCTTGTGAGTCTATTACCGCACCTGATACTTTAAGTACAGATTCCAATAACGTATTGGGTTCCCCATTCGGCTGTCTGACGTAGGTTCAATGGGCCGGGGTTTGACTGAGAGCGGTATTAGATTACTTTTAATTTATTAGTACGAAGGTTTGAATGACGGTAACTGAGAAAATCTATTACTAATTGGGTAGTTCAATCAAGAAACTTGATATATTCAATTAGTACGGTAGTAGGTACCTAGATGCTTTGAAATTTGAAATAGATCAGAGGTACTAAATAGGTACCAAATTATTTTGTAACCTGTCAAAAAAGATTTTAATATTATCATGTTTTGACTGGTTGCAAAGGAATTTGTTAGTATTTTAATTACATTATTAGAAGAGACGAAAATTAATTGTCAAATAATTTTAGAACGAGTGCCCTTTAATTGTGTTGATTGCAAAAACAAATATTATAATAGCAAATGTCTAAAGATTGAAACAAAATTTACATTACTCAGTCAAAGGGAATAATTTCATCGGTTGTAATTTATTCAGGGTTGTGTCATTGCACTGTATTAGAATCTCTAATGTTGTAGATTAGAATATACGAAGATGAGTTTAAGTAATATTGTAATTTTTTTAGGAAATTTCAAACCATAAAAGGTAATTTCTTGGTCCTTTTATACAGGGTGAAATTGCAAACAGTTATTGCCAAAAAGTTTTGATAAACTCTATAGAACAATTAATAAGTAACAACATGACTTTATCGTAATTATTTTTAAACGTTGTATTTTTCGAGAAAAAAGTATTGAAAGTGTAATTCGCGGATGCCCATATCTTAGGTTTTAAATGCATTTTCAAAAAAGCCACAAGTATAATTTACTTTGTTTCATAGAAAAATACGCGCATACACACTGTTAACCGCAAAGCTTAGTAGACATTGTGGTGCGCGAAAATATATTATATTTTGAAACCGCGCATAGAGGATAAAATCATTAAATGTTACTGATTCTGTCGGTCGCTCCTAAAAATTGGGCAACTGTTTGGAAAGTCACCCTGTATTTTATCGCAGTCAAGCCCCAGCTCTTTGGGAATGTAGTGAGTTTTAAGAGGGCCCCTCCCTCTTGAAGGGAAAGAATATCAAACTGACAATCTTAAGCAGCCAGCTGAATAGCTTTATCGAAGTGGATTGACGGTGAATGACATCTGATACGTAAATAGACGTGTAGTATAGATAAGCACATCAAGCTTAACGCTATGGGGTCTTAGGACCCTCGCCCACGGTGACTTTTTATAGTGATGCTTTTCATAAACGAGTGACAGCATCGCTACTATTATAATAACGTGCATTAGTTGCAATTTGGAAGGGGCCGCGTATCGGAAAACGCAGCTTGGGGAGTCTACCCTCAAGGTGGACCGACGTCATCATAAAGGTAGCAGGAAGGCGCTGGACGCAGGCCGCTAATAACCGAGCATTGGGGAAGGTCTATGTTCAGCAGTGGACGTCCTATGGCTGAAATGATGATGATGATGAGTCGCATTTAATTTTGCAACGCGTTACAGAACAGTCGAACTTGTTTCAAGTCCGCCTGGCTTATAGCTACCACAATCTTACCCAAGTCTGTCATCGTAACAACAATGTACACAGCAGTAAGATAGGTAGTTGAGGACTACGGGTGTAGATTGCTTCTACCTTCAGGCCGATCATCACTCTACATCAGGCAAGATGCAGGCCAATAGCTAACTCGTTTTTATTTAAAAAAAAGTACTTCAAGCGCTATCTGATAGATGAAAGATATTCATTGCTCGACGCAGTTCCTCACGGGACATGGAAACTTTAAACATAAACTTCACGAATTCAAACTAGTTCCGTCTCCTTTTTGCGAGTGTTCCACTGATGATGTCAGTCATGAGCAGTCTGCCCATCATATCTTGTGGGAGTGTGATCTTTGGAAACATGAACGTGATATAATGCTTTATTCAATACAACATACATCTGTTTCCGCAATTTATTACACCGATCTTGTCGCGACAAGGAAAATTTTCCGTGCTTTTAAGCGATTTTGTGAAAAATATTATTGGCAGGTAGTTGCTAATT